TACTAGGGTCTTCGTGCTGTAGACAAGGGTTCGGCTTCACTGATGAGCGGACCACGATTGTCTGGTTCTTTGTCTGTGTCTGTGCTTCTTTGAACCAGCATCGCAGGCGGCAGGTGAAACTGCTTCACGCACACGAGGTCCTCAGCGATGACCTGCATCACGGCTCGGTTTGAGGGGACTCAGGGTGATCCGGAATTTTGGAGTTCCTACCATAGCAGTTTCACGGCCTTGCCTAGCCTGGCCGTATCGGAAAAGGCTTTGAGAGTTGTTTCTGGCTTTGAGAAGTTTCGGTAAACGCTTCAATAAACAGGTCGTGGCTTTCAGTGGGTGGAAATGAACATCTGAGGCTGTCTGAGGTCCTAGTTAGAGGTTGCTCCATAGCTTCCGTTGTCTGGTTTGGGGTATTCTTTTATGGATTCCCCAAGCCCCTAAGCCCTCGCTGTGCAAAGATAGCCCGGATCAGAGTAACCGGGACCGGAACAAGCCCGACGCAGGAGGACCAGTTCTTGCCAGATCCCTGAGGCGATTTCAGGGTTGCATCTGTGTAGTTCTCCAAACTCCGTTGGGTCCACAAAGAGTACCGTCCCTGAAAAGAGCCCACGTCGGGGAACTACCCAATGTACTGCAGCGGTTGAGAAAGCCACTCAGCACTGCAGGCCATACTAACTGCATGTTCAACTGTCGATATCTTCTGCATTGCTGTTGCCACTTACTATCTGCAAACGTGAGTTGGTTCAATGCTTCTTCTCTTGTTTTCAGCAACAGTCACCATTCTGTACCCCCCATCGATGTCGTAGCAGTAGGTCAGGTCTGCTAAGCTACAGGAAATTTTACATAAGCCCAATAGACGGCAGTGGGTGATATCGAGTTTATTGCAAAGCGCTTTTATGGAAGTAGGTCCCAAAAACCATAATGGGTGTAGTCTTGTGTGACCTCATTCCAGAATAGTTGTAATATATGGACCTCTGCCCGGTGCTTGCGTGCCTCTTCGACGAATGGTAGGTAGAAACTAAGCAGGCAGGGTGGGTGGTGGGTTTCGGGAAAGCCTGAGAGTTGTTTACGTAAGATTTCGGAGACAATAGAATGTACTATAATACAGTGGATTTAGGGTTTAGTGTAAAATATAGATGAGATGACATGTTTCCATGGGCGTGCTGAATACTGTGAATCCACAGCACACGAAGGTCGTCAGGGCCTCACGTTATCAGGAATGCAACATCAACACCAGGGCCAGTATATGCCACCAGTAGGTAGAGCCCAGGAATGAATCATGAACTCTCCACATCTTTGTTTGGAGATTATTGGTGCCATGAAGTCATCTGCTGCACCATTCTACACCTTTCACTGCGTGCATACATGCGCGTGAAAGGGAGATCACCAGCCTATTCGTTTGTGTGCTTTTGTTCGTGGAAGCAAAAAGTCACACCAACCGTATCTAAACACCCGAGCGTTCTGTGCCTTTCTGTAGCAAAGCCACACAAGCTTCTGGACCAATTGCCTGCCTGGCCTTTCCACGATTCGCCTTTGTCGGGATGTTGCTGTTCTTGCATGTTCTAGTTGGGCTACAAGGCGTTGTGGATGTGTGCCTGTGGCAACCTTTTGTAACTGTAGGGATCTGCGAGCTAGTTTCTGAAGTGCGGAAAGCATTCCCAGTGCAAGCAGGGGCACAAATTTGCTGGCTCGTCGCGCGCAGGGAATACTGTCGTTATTCGTTGCCAGGGCGGGCGCGCTGTCTTCCATCATCAGAATACTGCGAACCGTTTGTGAGCACACAGAACCCGCATGTGAACCGTGGAAACCTCTCGTTGCTAATATGGTAGTTCCTTGGGGATCGCGCAGCCTGGCTTTGCGCTCACTTCCTAAGGATTGTCGCGCTCGTGCCCGATGAGCTCACTGTGGTGTTCAGCACGATTGACATGCCAGCAACTTTGTCAGCAGGTGTGGTCAATCAGGGTTAACCCCAACTTTCAAGGTTTATAAGACATGGTTCGAGTTAAGACGAGCACACTCTACAACAAGATTTAGGTCCTGCTTCGTGAGACTGAGATCTCTCCATTCACAATGAAGACTCTTGAAGGGATGGGGCAGGAACTTGCAGAGAAGGCACCCCAAGCTTCCATGTAACATGGCAGCTTAGCGTGCCTGAAACAGTCCTGAGTCTTCAGTACAACGCCAAACAGTCTGCATTTCGACAGAACAAAAGTCCGGAAGTCCATGCTTTCAGGACCCACAACCGGTACCTTCCCAAATCTCTCAAACACGAAGCCCTCAAGCTGAAAATTGGGTCATGCAACTATCGTGATGAAGTAGTGATGAGAGCCGCAGACGGTTGACCGGATACTTGCAAACATGTGCACTAATGCAGCGTCACCATCACGACGGTAGAATCATCATCACCTTCGCGTCGTCACATCCATCACAGCTTCGACATGCACACAATCATCATCACAATCTGTGTTTGTTTTACTGCCAGCTTCAAACCAGACCAGTGACTTGGTGCGTGCATCGTCTACATCTGCATCTGATTCCTGGTGAAGCCGAGATTCCTCGGGCGAGCGGCTCAAGCAGCTCCTACGAGCATCCGGGCGTCGCTTGGCGATCATACCCAAGCCCACCAGGGAGTTTCAGGAAATTAGGGGTACCTTATTTTGGGGTCCTTATAATAAGGATCCTATTATTATTTTGGGGTCCTTATAATAAGGATCCTATTATTTAAGGTACCATATTAGGGTCCCCTATTTTCGGAAGCTCCTACCAGGCCCGGAGCATTAAAACACCCAGCCACTGTTGCTGCTGCTACTCGAGTAAGCAAACATAAACCTACCACGACTGTTACTGCTACTACTACTACTACTACTACTACTACTACTACTACTCCTGCTGCTGCTGCTGCTACTACTGCTACTACTACTACTACCACTACTACTACTACTACTACTACTACTACTACTACTACTACTACTACTACTACTACTACTACTACTACTACTACTACTACTACTGCTACGTCTTCTTCTACTATTCCTCCTACTCATACTACGGCTCCCGTGACCGCTACTGCAATCGCTACTGTTGCTCGTACCGCTGCTGCTACTGCTTTTGCCGGCGCTGGTGCTATCACAACGACTTCTATGTTCACTATCATCGCCCCGCGGCCATCGTTTGGTACAATGATGGATCGAACACCTGGGTCGCGAAGCAGACCCTGCGGAAAACACAAATTTGCAGGGTAAACTCCGAATGATTTCGGACAGGGGTGTGCACCATTTCAATCTGCGAGCACGAACGATCCTACATGATAACCTTCAGCCGGCTGAACGGCATCTGCGCCAGGACACGAGACTTGTAAGCTCATGAACTATGCAAAACAGGCGGTAAATGCAGCTCTCGCTTTGCTTAGGAATGGGACTGGGACCACGATGAGTCGGACTCTGGTGGGTATTCTGTTTATGACTCAGATGGTTCCTGAGACCGAAGGTCAGGGCTTTTAGGGCCAAAGGCTCCGTTTGCAGAGGTGCCTGGTGCATGTGTTCATTCGGGTGGACCCTCCATGCATCTTCCTTGTCTTTAATGATGCACCGGCATTAGAGCCGTGGGCCGAACGTGAGCAGCACGACTTGTGCAGCCCAGCAGCGAAGTGGACCTCTGATCCTAATCGCAATGTCTCACCTGCGCAGGCGTCATGTCGCTTGGCAGACATCAGCCAGAGCAGCTACAGTGCATTTTCGCCGAGCTCGAAGCAGAGTCTTTTCAAGACAGCCGCCGACAGCAAAAGCACGATACGAACAAAGTGCTGGGGTAAATGTGCAGGAGGGATGGTCGCCACCGCCATTACAAGGAACGGATGGACTCCTCATGAAGATTCTCTACAATTACAATGTAATGAGCTCCGTACCCATGAAATCCTCATGACCTGATTGTTAGCACATGGACCTTTGTACCGTGGTGATGTCATGACTCCGAGCTTGCTTTTTCAGATGCTTATGAGATTGCGAACCGATCCTTTCCGTGCGGCTTCGTTCTATCTCGTTTCCATCTCTCACACTTGTGACACAGGCTGATTCGAGTGATGCTACAACGTATCCGAGGGTGTGCTGGGCGATGTGCAGCCACTTCAGTTCGCCCTTTGGGTTAGGCTTGGTGGGGTTTGTGCACAAGTGGACGACGACTGCCGCTGGTGCGTGGTTGCGACCTGTCGCGTGGTAAATGCCCATGTCAGCCAGAAAACTGACACTTCGAATAATTCATGTGCCTGGATGCGTGTGGTTGCACGCGTACAAGCCACTGCTTGTTTCGACTGTGCGCCCGCGTGCACGCACGCATGCGAGACTATGTAATTTGTGTTTGAGGGGTCGTGTATGTTCGTAGCTTGGCGGCCATGATTTATAGCAATCTATGCAGCTCGTTGTAGATCAGCTCAGCTCAGCGAACTCCGAGCGATACTTGGAACTCGAAACTCCTTAGATGTTGAGCCTTACATTGTAGCTGAAGCTTGGGGCCGTTGATTCAAACATCCCTTCGGCATGGCGCGTAGTTCAATAATGATGCGAAGAGATGGGCACCACCCAGGACATCTTTCAGGAGGCGCTTGCAGACACCTGGCAGCCCGAAATCAACAATGTTCTCGTAGCTCCCCCTCGGTGTGGACACTTGCGATGATTTGTGCTGCAGATGGATACGAGAGGCTTATTGCGGTTCCTTTGCCAGATCGTCTTTACTTGTTCATGTGTAAGCTCAAAAAGTTGAAAGTGCGTGAGCAAATCACGACTGGACCATCGCCGGCTCGCTTGGAGTTCGAACAGTACAAGACAGAAGTGCTATGCGCTTGAGAGCTCGAAGGTTACCGGGTGGACCCACCCTTGGCCGCCAGCTTGATTTCAGGATCTCAGTCAGGCCATCAAAGCTAGGGTACCTGTCCTAGAATCCTACATCAACAGAAAGCCCTGTTTCGCTTTGTTGTCCACCGTTCGCAACCGTGTTTGTTTGTCAAATCGCCGGCCATGGCGATTTCTGTCACGGTGACCCTGCTCAGCGGCATCCAGGCAACAGTTCTGATGCATGAAGACGAAACAGTGGCTGACCTGCGACGGAAGGCCCAGGCTGCCTTGCAAAGACCTTTAGGGAAATTCATCGGTACTTCTGGCACTTTGTCAAGCACATCTGGCACATTAGTGCAGGCAGGAGTCCGGGATGGAGACACGATTACGGCCATCCAGCAGACAGTCGCGGTTGCAGCAACTCGTAGTGCATTTGCTCTCATCCGTGCAGATGGCACTGTGATGACATGGGGCCGTTGCCGCGACGGCGGGGACAGCAGTGCTGTCCAGCATCAGTTATTTGACGTGCAGCAGATCCAGGCCTCGGATTCCGCCTTTGCTGCACTCCGAGGAGACGGAAAAGTAGTTGCATGGGGTAATCTGACTCCAGACAACATTTTTTATGATCCTCCTTTCTCGTCGGACAGCAACGACGACGAGCCGCGCGGGGATGTGAGATTCGAGTCTGTTCAGAGCCAACTTCGCGACGTGATGCACATTCAAGCATCCGAGGAGGGATTTGCCGCCATCAAAGCAGATGGGACGGTGGTAACTTGGGGAAGCGAGATATCTGGCGGAAACAGTTCCACGGTGCGCAATGGTCTTCGCGATGTGTGTTGCATAGCGGCAGCTGGCCGTGCCTTTGCCGCCTTGCGCAGGGACGGAAGTGTGGTGACTTGGGGCGACCATGACCTAGGCGGCTGCAGTGACTATGTGCAGAACCAGCTAAGGGATGTCCTGCACATCAAGGGGTCTAAAGGTGGGTTCGGTGCAGTCACTGCCAGTGGGCATGTGGTATTCTGGGGGTTTTACAACCGGGAACTGACCGAAGACGAAGGTGACCGTCTGCTAGAGACCTTTGATACCAAGCTGCAAAATGTACAACAACTTCAGCATTTTGATAACTCTTGTGCTGCCGTGGACAAGGATGGGCATGTCGCCATCTGGGGCCCTTGTGGCGACTTGCGCAAGTCGAGGTCTCTGAGCGGGCTTGAGCGCCAGCAGATGGGAGAGGTGTCGTGCATACAAGCAAGCGGCCTTTTTTATTCCGGTGCTTTCGCGGCGCTCCGCAAGGACGGAACAGTGGTGACATGGGGCTTTGGGCCGTCTGGTGGTGACAGCACGGCCGTCCAGCACCAGCTGACCGACGTTGTGCAGATTCAGGCCTCATACAGGGCCTTTGCTGCGCTGCGGTCTGATGGGACGGTGGTCAGCTGGGGAGAGAAGAAGGCATCGGACACCAGGTCAGTTCAGAGCCAGCTTCACGGTGTGAAAGCCATCCAAGCAAGCCATGCAGCTTTCGCAGCGCTACGAGAGGATGGATCGGTGCTGGCTTGGGGGCTCAAAAACTTCGGGGGCTGCACAGGCGCAGCGCAAGGCCAGCTGAAAGACGTCATTTGTATCCAAGCCAATGAGGCAGCCTTTGCTGCAATCAGGGCTGATGGCTCAGTTGTAACCTGGGGACGCCGGAACTTCGGCGGGGACAGTCAAGAGGTAAGCAAAGAGTTAGGCCGGTCTACTGCGGATGCCAAGATCTTTGCACAGGCTTTGGCTGAAGCCAATGCTGCAGCTGAGGCGAAGGCTAAGATGGCCAAGGCGAGGGCCAAAGCCAAGGCCAAAGCCAAAGCCAAAGCGAAGGCAAAGAACAAGACGAGGCGCAAGGCAAAAACTACAGCTGACACCAAAAAGGTGCTCCAGCTTCGCAAGCGGCCTGCAGCGAAGCGACCGGCTGCAAAGAAACCGGCTGCAAAGCGGCCTGCTGCAAAGTAAAACGGGTTGCCCGAACGATGAGAGACTCCTCTGGTTTCATCAGTTCGAAGCCCTACCAGTTTAGCCCGGTCCTTTGATTGCTCTCTTATCAGCGACTCAAGGTTTAGTTGGACTGTCTTCAATGCACTTGTAGTCTAGTGTTATCATGGCCTTACGACTAGTGGCTAATGGGGCTAGCGAATAGCACCACTTTTTAGTGTCATTCGGTAAAACATCGCAACATGACAAGAAACGTGGCATTCATCATGTGCTTGGACTGGAGCATGCGTGCATACATACATACGTACTTGACCTGCCTGCCTGCCTGCCTCTATGCATGCAGACACAGACACACAGATATACATGTACATAATGCATACATACATACATACTTATAATATGAATACTATATACATATATATATATATATATATATATGTATATATATACATATACATATACATATACATATTGTACAAAAAAAGATAACATAAAATATAATATCTACATATATATATATATATATATATGTATACGCACACATACATAGTACACACCGGGCAGTCAGAGGCGATCAGCATCCCCAGTTTGCTTACGCCCACGGCCCCTTCTGCTTGATTGCACTGCCAGTTCTGGTCGGGAGTTGAAGTTCGAGGTGCAACCATGGGGAGGGAAGGAAGTGCCAGGATCGAATTGGGCGGTTGCCAAAATTAGGATCCCTTTTTGGGTACCCTACATATTAGGTGCCGTATTATAATATAGGGACCCAAAACGGGACCATAATTTTGACAACCACCTAAATGACTGCGCTTCTTCGGGCCCGATTGTCGGCGACAAGGTGATGGTGTGTTCAGGTGGCGCTTTTTCGGTACATTTTGGGACTGCCGTCCGGGGGGGTTCAGAAATCTCGAACGAAGAGTTTCGGATTCCCCGGGCTTGGTGTTGTTTGAAATGTATCACAAACCGCCCGGCATTGAGCACACTCGACCTCTCCAACTCTGTAGGGTCAAGATGAGGTCTTCCTGAAGTCGGGATCTGAAATGCTCCACACTTCCAGCTTCTAAGCCCCTCCCTACATGGTTCAGGCTGCTCAAGATCTCAGCACTACTAGTGGCGCTACCAGCCAGCAGGCTCGAAAGCAAATCCCAAAAGCGGGTTAGCACTACTAGTGGCGCTGCCAGCCAGCAAGCTTGAAAGCAAATTCCAAAATGCCGGTTTTTGCTAAAGAAATAACCCATCCACGACATTTTCATCTTCATCGGTATCATCGCCACCATCTTCATCATCGTGAGCATCATGACCACCATGAGTGTGTGCATCCCGCAACCCCTGGAAGCCCGGGCAGCCTGTAACACAGGAAGCCTAGAGAAGCTCCGAAGCTCCGTGGCAATCGAATCTCGACCTCCAGGCTGCTGTCTTTACGATTTGTGGCACGGTGTTCTTTTCTCTGCCTGGGCCTTCAGAGAGGGAAGAGGGGACGAATAAGAAGGGATGGGATGGGATCATGGTTGAGGGCTTATTACTATGCATGGCTCCTGCTTCTAGCCCAGATGAGATACGACCCTAGCCGCTAGCCCCAAATCACGTTTTCATCGCTTAGGTCTCTTCAAACGTAGCTATATACATCTTTCACGGGTCTGGCTTCCCGAACTGACTCACGAATTGGACTTTCAACATCCCTCAACGGAAGCCATCAAGAGCTCGCCGTCAGTCAGCGGTTTAGCTTCCGCTTGTATACGGGCCTAGATAATTCCAGTTCATTATTACAAGTCATTATAAATAGAGTATACTGGGCACCAAAACCCTATTCTAATTATCACGGCCCCTACATTAGGTTCCAGTCGCCATGTGCTGAGGCTAGCAGGCGCTAGTACCGCATCGCAGTTCGTAAGAGCTTGGCAGTCGTAATTTTCGGTGTGAGTGCACGTCGGCCTTGTTTGTCCACGCCTCCTGCCCGGCATTTTAGTCAGGCTTTGGCTACACCCATCGTCCATGCATTGGGTCCAATCTGGAAGGCCCCCATGTTGGGCAACCGAAACACTACGACACGGTATTGGCCTGCCGCTCTTCCGGTAGATCCCTGTGATTCATGATGTTCCATATATGTATAATATATATATATATATATAGAAAAATATATGTATGTATATATAATATGAATGCTATCCCCTGTGGGATGGACCCTTCTCAGCATCCCTGTGAGCTGCCTTGCCCGGCCTCATTGTGCGAATCCTTCCAAAGCAGGGCACTCCTTTGTTTCGACGTGTATGGACGGGCTCTTGCCGAGTGCGATGTACATCACACCCCCCGCCCACACTTCTGCAGAATGTTGTCCTAGAGAGTACATTAGAAACCAGGTAGGCCGATTAGGAGTGTGTCAATTACCAAACTGGTATCTCTCGGGTAGATACCAGATAAGGCCTGTGACATGTAACATCCTGTGTAGACCACCACTCTGACAAGACCTCATTCCCCCAACATAGCTCGTGCCCAGGCTCAGTGCAACGCTTCTGTCCGCTGTGGCGTCGGTTCTTTTTACAATGCTCTTCCCAGGCAGCCTTACTTCAAGAGGGCGTTTCAGGGCTCGGGAGCATTTAGCGACGATTGCAACAACAACAACGAAGTTGTTACATTCACAGCAGCAGCAGTAGCAGCTCCGGCTCCTGCTCCTGCTACCACCACTACCACTTCTACTCCTGTGACTGCACCTGGCACTGCTGTTACTGCTACGGCTTCTGGTGCTACCAACAAAACGACCACACTTCCACGAGGACGATGCCACAATTACGCATTGCCGGTAGCATCGGCGAGCCCTACAAGTACGCATGGGTTGCAGCATGTGCTTCTCGTGGCTCTTGTTACGCGTGTGTTGGCAACAGATCCATTGAACACCACCGGCAGGATCAACAAAGCAAGCAAAACGCGGACGAATGGAAACGACTACGCCAAATAGCAAAACTGGGAACAGAAGAACCAACAAGTACAAGTAGTGAGGTTAGGCATAGACATGTGCATTCTCTCTTTCCGGCGCTGCTGTGTCTCGCTCTTGTTCTGTCTTTTTTTCTCTTCGTTTTTTATTCGCTCTGTCTGTCTGTCTCTCTCTCTCTCTCTCTCTCTGTCTCTCTCTTGCCATCATGCATCAACGGAACCAACACGGGTCTCGCGCGGCAGCTGCTTGCAAGGGCTAGAGCGTGTTACAATGCAGCTAGAGAGAGAGCTCTGGGCTACCTGCTGAACCTAAACTTTACCTTCGTGGCCAGATTTTGCCACACGAGTCTCATCACCTCAGGCATCGGAGACATCTTGAAGCACTTTCTCCGGTACTCATGGATGCAGCATACGCAGTGGTACGCCTGCGCCTCAGAACGGACTTGTCGCAGGTTCCCGTGCATTTATGCATCAAAGACCAGTATAGCGCAGAGCAATACCACGATGTGCAGTAATTCCTTTGTACCGTGCACACATACATCTTTGTACATACACACACCCACACACTCATACATACATATATATATATATATAGATATATATATATATATATATATATATATATTTATTTATATATACACAGAGATCTAGATATCGTAGACAAGAAGCTATCGCCTGGACAGTCGTGTTGCCACAGATTCGCAGGGGACCGAACCCCAGCCGGGTCGCGGTCGCCCCCGGTTGGAATACACGGCCAAAACGCATGGTTTCCTTGTTATGGTAACTTAACGTAAAATCATGTTAAATGCCTATAAACCCTTCAGGAACCGTTATAGGTCCCTTAATGGAACCATTATACATCCCCATAATGGTAGCCCGTTTGAGAGTCACCGCTTTCGGCCCGAAATGTATCTCGAAGCCGACTTCAATCCCTCACGGCTCAAAATCCCATCCTTATTATTGAGCCCTTGTAGCATCCCCCCGGAAAACCGAGGACCGTCAGAGCCTCAAGGTGATTGGCCGCTGGGATTGCTGGATTCTACATGTCCGGGCCCCTGTGTTGGCGGAATCTCAAGAGCTCGCACGGAATAGCAGCCGCATCTCCGAGGTTTCGCGAGGCTTTGCAGGGGTCTGTTGACAGTTTATACAAGAGCTACAGCAGCTCTCCCTCATGAACAACCCTCAGAAGCGCTTTGTGCGCTGGGGCCTTGTGGCTTCGCTTCTTTGTTCACAAGCGCAATTCACGGCCAAGGGATGATTCGTTTTGGCTTCGGATTCAAGGGTGTGTGGTTTTATAAGGCAGCGGCCACAGCTTTTGAGATGGTCATAGATGATCATTGTGATATTTGGCTTGCGAAGCATGGCTTGAGGGGTTCAAGTGCTTCAAAATTCTGCGTGCGCACACGAACTATCTCAAAGATTAAGTTTGATTTTCCTCGTTCAGTGCGCTCTGTTTGGCTGTTACACGGCGTGGGCACCGGCAGATAACAAGCATAGCATGTATTATCTGGTGCCTGACTACCACACTTTCCGACTACAACCATCACCATCAACAAGAATACCAAAGCAAGTACAGCCTCAAAAACATAATACCCGCTCCAAGGTAGACTTGTTCGTACAGGTTCCCGGTCTTCCAACAATTGTTTATGTTCGATGGATTTGTTGCTATTTCTATTGAAACGAATTTAAGGAATGAGCTATTCTGCAGCATTACGGGCGAAGTACAGGTCGAATCTGCAGGCTGTTTGCCGCAAGACTTCTCTTTGCAATGAATCCGACTGCTGATTTTGGTAGAAGGGTGTGCGGGTTTAGTTTAGTTGATCTTTCCACGTCAGCTTGCTTTGAGGCCAAGACGACGGATTAATTATTGCAAGATGCTTTGTGACAGGTGTCAGCTGTTAGGCAGAAGCAAGGCTTGACGCAATGAATGCTGAGACTCCCATGGGCATCTGAAAACCAAGGTCAGAGATTTGCAGCTCATTCACGGCTTTCGCGTGTCCATCGACACCTGGCGGCAACTGTCACTCCCTGACACCCAGCATCACTTGCCGCTGCTAGTCGGCGTAGAAAGCGTACGGATGCTGCTGCAACTACTGCTACACTGCCAAGGCCACTGCCATTCTGACTCCTACTGCTGCTGCTGCTGCGACTACAGTACTATGCTGTACTACTCGTACTCCTAGTCCTACTCCTACTATATAATACCAGTACCAGTACCAGTGCTTACGACATGTCTGCCGGTTGGGTTTCACTGTTTGGTCCGACCTGTGTTCGGCAATCATGCGGATCGCGAAGAGCTGTAATCACTGCAGCCAAGTCCTTGTAGTGAAACCCTCCATCCAATCATCTGAACTCGGCCCAAGGATGGACGCCACCAGGAGGTTGGGTTCCACGTGCCATGTCCAATGTGATGGTCACGTTCAGCACCTGGGGAAAGTGCAGCTTGTTCAGTTCCCTCCCCAAGTTGAGAGAAGTCTTGGGCTATGCTGATCTTTTTGTTGTATACTCTTATCAGGTATTTCTTATGGTTATCTTATGCCACCTGCGTGACGGCCTTGCCTTATGGCACCTGCATGATCTTCACTGAAGTAGATTCATGGGATAGGATCAGCAGGCAGAGCGTTTTTCGATGCTTACTCTGTTTGGGGAACTGACTGCCCACATACCTGTGCTGACCATAGTTCCGTCCGGTGCCTTGTTAGGCACAGAGACAGATGCAATGCCAGCATTGGCAGCAGACTCTTTACAGTTGTGTATCGTATATACCGTAGAGAGCATGATAGTTCTCAGAACGTCAGGCGTGCTACGTATATACTTATATGTGTGTGTATATATATATATATATATACTGGTATTTCCCGTATTTGTGCAATCCGAGCCTCGAAGCCTCGACTCCTCGCGGAGCATTCCCACGTGAAGGACGGCTTCATTACCATTCAGTTCCATGCCACTGACGAGTGGGCACCTCATGAGTTGAAACAGCTGTTGTTTGAGTTTGCTCGTGCTATACTTGTGCTTGCAGAAACCATCGCAGATGTCCGCAAATACTGCGAGGATGGGGTGATGCAGTATGTTCATGCCAGCTCGTTTGTGCAGGCAGCTCGGGTTTGTTTCCTGGTCGGTTTCGAGACTTCTGCCTACTCAGTCCTTACAACATCGTCACCACTCGCAGCGTCCCGGCCGCTTTCTCAGAATGGCATGTGCGCTTTCCTGGAACGGCAAAAACACAGACAGGCTGAATGAGTTTTATTTCGATCCCTCCAACTGTTTGCATCGGTTGCGCCACTGGAGTTGTCAACAGTAGTGTCGGGTTAATGCAGTTGGATTTGCACGTCGTCATAGGTGAGATTTTGGATTTCAATCACATTTTGGTGGGGATGGTGGGGTCAGGAGTTTGGTCGCTGGACAGTATAGTGGAATTAAGCCTCACTTTTGCTCTTCGAACTTCGCCGAACATGTTGGTTTGGGCACGGTGGGCGTTGAACCTCTGGAAGTTTATCCAGTGTAGGCTCGGGCCTGGACAGTCTGGATTGAGGCGATGCATTTTCATGTTTGGAAGCAGGTTATGCGGATGGTGAGGCGGTTCAAGGTCAAGGGCTTGTGTTTGAAATGATCGCTCCCATTCCGAACTGCGTCAACAGCAAGTTTGGTGATGTTTGGTGAATTTCAGCTGCAGGTTCGTGCAGTCATGCAGCGGAACATGAACCCCTTCGAGGGCGACAATGCGTGGGCCCAATGTCAGCTTAGTATGGCTTAGTGTTGATCTGGCACCAGGAACTACAACTACCGCGGCGGCAGTGGGATCATGTTGTACAACATCAGCGATATGTAGAATCTAAAGGGCAGAGAAATGTTAGTCTCGGTTGCTGGACTGCACCGGGATAATCAATGATAGTCATGCTGCTACACTGAAATGTGGTGATCTGCCGGCAAAACTATGTGGGCTATGAAGCTTTTCGCTGGGAGCGCGGCTTGACAACACGCATGTCGTCTGTGCCGCTAGTGGATAGGCCGGGCCTGACTCAGACTCGCCGCGGTGACATGGTTTGACATGTAGTGGATTCGGTTCGTTTCTTCTAATTATAGGTTTTCCGCTCTTCTGGAAAGTTTCCCTGCCCTGATTCCTACCGAATCTGCCAGGTGAAGATCAATATTGGCAGTTGGCGAACGATTCTTGTCGTGAATGTGCGGGGCCTAATGCATCTTCCAGGCCTCTTGTGGCTTCCCCAACAGAATCTGGGAGCACAGCGCCATGCTCAAATCCTTTCCGGAAAGCTTTGCTGCGCAGAGCAGGAAGCGGCTTTCTCACTCGACATTCAGAAGCATGATCCCGTGGAGTTCGCAAACCCCCCAAACCCCACAACCTATCAACCTCCCAGACCGCACGCTCCGGACGACTCCGAACGTGTACCTCACAATGAATTCTACAGCATGCGACAACGCCAGTGCGTGTTATGACAATTAGAATAGGGTTTGGACGGTTTGGGGCCCGTTATACTGTGAATATAATAAGGAACACCCAAATAGTATAGCTAATTATTAAGGTGCCTATATGACGCCTTGCGCAAGTCGTTACAACGCGTGCCAGGTGATGTATCAGCACCAGAACGGAGCGCAGCCGCAGAAGGCAGCAGCCTCATGCTACTACTATGTTGGGGGAGTTCCTTATTGAAAATAGTTATAGTATAATGAGCCCCAAAACCTTATTCTAATTACTAAGGCCCCTATTGTACACGAAGTTCCCGGAAACCCGGAAGCCAGGCTTTCGGGCATGTCTTAAGCTCGCGGACTATCTCGGACCAACGTTCTAATGGTGTTATGGCTATCTTCATCGCTTCCGAAGCAGCCCCGAGACCAAAACTCATCTACACCAATTGAATCATGTACCCTGAGAACATCCACAGCTGCGCTAGCTTGAGCTTGAAGTTTTCGGGAGCCTAAGTGCATGGAGCGGGGGTGCTTTGCCGTTGGCTGTGCAAGAGTTCTTCGGTGGGTTGTGCGGAGTGAGTTGATGACCCGGTCGACCTTCTCCTTCTGTTTATTTCTACGTGTCCTTGTGATTTGTTTTTGTCGGTGTGTCGCTGACTGTTTAAAGAGGTATGTGAAGGCACAGAGTAAGTTACCTCGGCCCGCTCTCTTTCAAAACTACTGCCGTCTTGCGCGGTTCGTATTATTGTCGTGTGTTGTTCAGTGTGTTTTTGCGCTGTCGGCTTGTCATCATCGACGTCGTGTCGTCGTAATGTAGCGGCCTCAGAATCTTGTCCGGGTGTGAGTGTCAAAAAAAGATTAGAATCTAGTCTGGGGGTAGGGCTTGGGGGTATATTATACCAGAATAAGGAACCCCTAAAACCCTATTCTAATTATTAAGGCTCCTCTATTGCCCCTGGCCATCAAGACCCCGAAACCCATGTCCGAGTGTGAGCGCCGAAACCCTAGTTGCCTGTGACACATGTAATGGCGATTTTACTTGTGGTTATGTTTACTTATGAGCTGTTGGTGCGTTTGTTTGGTGAATGTGTTTGGGCACTGCTCAGAGTTAGTTGAATCCTGTGGACTATGTGGAGCCTTGCCTGCCTTGTGCGAGAGAGAGCGTCGAAACCCTCCTACCCCCAGCCCAACGCATCGTAGGTGGCTGGCGGCCTCTGGGATCC